CGTCATTTTACATTCAATCCCGGATAATTCTGGACACACATGTGTTTGAAAGCTCACAGTGAGCTTTGAACACTATTACTGATTGGCTTATGTGAAAAATTCCTGTTTCTGAGACTAAAATATGATTGGTCTAAAAAAAAAAATGGCCCACCTGTCCCTTTAATTATTATAATCATTGCGCATTGTCTAACAAATGTCACTGACTGTACAATCTGTTTTAAGATTATCACAAAATAAAAATGGACCTACTTATAAAATTGTGATGAAAGACTATTGTTCTGTGTATCACCAATATATGTCTGACATGTATCTGTTTCTCTTTCTGCTATCTGGAATACACTTCTGTAAGTTTTGTGAGGATAAATCATACAAATACAAATCATACCATAAATCATGATAGATCATACCAGGGTAAATCATGATAGATCATACCAGGATAAATCATGATAGATCATACAAGGGTAAATCATAATAAATCATACCAGAATAAATCATACCGGGGTAAATCATGATAAAGCATACCAGGAAAAATCATACCGGGGTAAATCATACCAGGATCAATCATTCCAGCGTAATCACACCAGGGTTCACAATTTTCAAGTGATTAGCCAATTTCAAAGGGACATTCCAATTTTTTGGAGAAATGTGTCCTTAAACGTATCTAACTAAAAAAATCCAGCCATTAATTTTTAAACAACAAAATGTTTGAAAGTTCGTAATACTTTTTGAAAGCTGTTTGAAATCTAGAGTACGGATTTGAGTAAAATCTAATTGTAGAGAAATATGTTTCCTACGTATTCTAAAGATTTCAACTAACAATATCGAGTCATTACAAAGCCAGGTTAAACTGCCTAATTAACAATTAGTTCTCTTTTTATTAAACCCTTTTAAAACAAATTCAGTTTGATCAAAAAATACATAGATATAAATAATATATTTTAGAAATATTTCCAGCCCTTTAATTTTGAAAACATTTTACGAAAAAGCGGAATGTCCCTTAAATATATCAACATAATCTTATCTGCAAGCAATTTGTAACCTGTACCAATGACATCACATTGAGCTGGGCTGTTTTGATGCAATCAGCAGGTATCTAAATGTATGGATTGAAACCTGACACATGTTTTCCCTTCCTTCGCTTTATTATTGGATTAACCTAAATTCAAACATTTTTATATCCTACCAAATAGTTATAAATTGATTAGCCAAAAAATAAAATCTAATGCTACCTAGTGCCTATTAGATTTAATGATGTCATTTGAACCATGTTCCTCCATGTTGCTTTAAACCAAAATGAAGCAATGCTACTTTAATAACCCTTAACAAGCTTTGAAGATTGAGAAATAGAAATAATATTCAATGTTCAGTTAATGTTTACTCTATGTGTATATATTCTTCTTTTCATTCAGATGCTTTGAAAATATCATTCCATGAAATTTGGACTTGCTACACAAATAGATCCAGGCTACTTACTAATACACTTCTTGATGTGATATTATCATCTTTACTATTATCTTCCAATACATCGCCATTGGTTAAATGTTTAAACTTTAGAACTTGGCTTTTCCCCTCTTTAAGTCGGCCATTGGTAAATTTAGCTGAAATTCATGAATGGAAACAGCTATTATACACTGGAATTCAATCATAGAATATTACATAATAATGAGGCAACAAGCGTTACAAGGATATTCTCCATGGAGCAGTTCACATCAAAGTGATAAATTTAAAGTGTATAACTCAGTTGTAAAAAAGCAGACTTAGAGGGCTTTTAAGTTTGACATGACTACCGACCATTAAAGCAACCATGAACTTTAGGCATACCACTTTAGCTTTAACAGAATTTTGAGCTACAGACTGAGAATGTTAAAAGATCTCATGGCATTGTCCGTCTTCATTAGCCCAATTAGGTGTAGAGAAGATTAGGACATAAAACTCAATTTATCATTATATCTCATCATTGCATTTTTTTTTCCATTCAACATGCATAATGCAAGGGAGAATTAGTACAAACTAATGTATGTCCTCACCAATGACAGCTTTTCGGCCCTCAACCCTTTTAATAGAACATGTTGATGTCATTATATATAAGGCTCTTCCACTTCCAAAAATACAGAAGTCACATCGATTGAAACTTTATTCCACACGTGTATTTTGATTTTTCTTAACCGGATGTTTTGATTTTAGTCCAGTCAAGAGTTACTTCCCTTACCAAATACACAGACCACAAGTTTTTCTATCAAAATTAATCTACTCTATAGTACGAAGAAAAAAATCTGACCATTTTATATACACATAGGCCTATGACAAGACTAAGTTAATGGGACATAGCAATCCAAATAGGCATCTCTAGATTTTTTCAAAAACATAGTATCGAGGAAGTTCACAATAAAAGATCGAAGGTCATTTTGAGATATCGACAATTTTCCAAACCATTCTTTCACTATCTAGACTTTTTTCTTATTTATCAAAGTTGACATATTCTATTAGAACTCAGGGCATCAAGAAACTTGTTTGGCTTTATTGTCAGCATAGTTTTAATACCTGTTTGTACGAAAATGTTATTTTATCATAAAGTTTTTGTTATATGTTGCAGAGTTTGAATGCAGACAATGATGTTTAGGACAGTTGACACAGTTTATTACTTCCACAGTACAGATCTCACAAGTTACACAATTAACAGGGCAGCAATGCTGAATAACTGTAACTGAAGCTTGCTTTCTCTCTAGTATGCAGTCAGTGGTCATCTGACCTTGTCAAGCAGTGTGCCAACCAGTC